GAGAAGATCTCAAATAAATGACTTAAAATTACATTCTAAGGAACTAGAAAAAGAAAAAACAAAGTCCAAAATCTGCAGAAAGAAGGAAATAATAAAGATCAGAGCAGAAGTAAATAACAAAGAAGGCAAAAAGCAATACAAAATAAAAATATCAACAAAACAAAGAGGTGTTTTTTTTAAAAAAAAAGATAAACAAAATTGACAAATTTTTAGCTAGATTAAAGGGGGGGGGGGCAGACAGAGGGGACTTAAATAAAACCAGAAATGAAAGAGGAGATATTGCAGCTCTTAACACAGAAATACATAAGATAACAGGAGACTACTACAATTATATACCAACAAATCAGATAACCTACAAGAAAAGAATGAATTCCTAGTCCCATACTACCTATTCAGCCTCAATCATAAATAAATAGACTAATAATAAGTAAGGAGATTAAATGAGTAATAATAAAAAGTCTCCAATTAAAGAATGCCTAGGTCCTGATGATTTCATTGATGAACTCTGCTAAATATTTAAAGAAGTAATAACCATCCTTCTCAAACCCTTCCAAAAAAACCAAGGAAGAGGGAACACTTCTAAACTTATTTTATGAGGCAAGCATTATCCTAATACCAAAGCAGAGAAAGGCATTACAAGGAAAGAAAAATCACAGGCCAATATCCCTGATGAACACATATGCAAAAATCTTCAACAAAAACCTGCATTAAATAGCACTTTAAAGGGATCATTCACCATAACGGTGTGGGATTTATCCCAGGGATACAAAGATAATCCAAAATTCAAAAAGCTGTAAAAGTGAAAAAGTGAAAAACAACAGAATGAAAGACAAAAATCATATGATCTTCTCAATAGGCAAAAAAAAAACATCTGATAAAATTCAACATCCTTTCATGATAAAAACATTCAACAAAACCGTAAAGGCTATATATAACAAACCCACAACTAATATCATACATAATGGTGAAAAATTGAAAGCTTTTCCTATAATATCAGGAACAAAATAAAGATTCCCACTCTTGCCAATTCTATTCAATACAGTACTGTAAGTCATATCTACAGCAATTAGGTAAGAGGGAAAAAAAAAAAAAAAAAGGAACCAATCTGAAAAGAAAGAAGTTAAATTGTCCCTGTATGCAGATGATATTTCATACATAGAAAATTCAAAATGCCCCAACAAAAATGAGTTAAAATAAATGAATTCAGTAAACCTGCAGGATAAAAAAATCAGTAGTATTTCTAATCAGTAACAAGAAACATGCTGAAAAAGAAATCAATAGCAATAACAAAAAAATAAAATACTCAGGAATAAATTTAAACAGATTACATGTACAAGCAAAACTATACAATATTGATGAAAGAAATTCAGGAAGACACATATCGATGGAAAGATATTCCATGTTCATGGATTGAAATAATTAATATTGTTAAAATGCCATACTACCAAAGGCAATCTATAGATTCAAGGCAATTCTTATCAAAATCCCAAAGACACTATTCACAGAAATGGAACAATCCTAAAATTCATATTAAACCACAAAAGAATCAAAATAGCCAAAGCAGTTCTTAGCAAAAAGAAAAAAGATGAGGGCATCATATTATCTGATATCAAAATATACTACAAAACTCTACTAACTCAAATAGCATAATACTGGAATAAAAAACAGACACAGATCAATGAAACAGAATAAAGAGCCTAGAAGTAAACCTATTCACTTATGGGCAATTGATCTTCAACAAAGATGCCATGGAATATACAAGAGGGAAAGGATAGTCCCTTTAATAAATGGTGCTGGAAAACCTAGATATCTACATGTGGAAGAACTAAACTATAACCCTATCTCTCACAGGTTATAAAAATCAACTCAACTTAAAAGATATGAAACTAAGGGAGGAAAGCTTCTTGACACTGGTCTGGGCAATGACTCCCCCCACCCCCGCCCCGCCCCGGTCTGGCAATTAAACCCAAGAGCTCTTCATCACTGACCTACATCCCCAGCAATTTTTAGTTTTTATTTTAAAACAGGGTCTTGCTAAATTGAAGAAATTGACCTCAAACTTGAGACCTTTTAAGTCACTGGCATTACAGGTATGTACCCCCAAGACAAATTGGGTAATGTTTTTTTTATTAGGACCCCAAAATCATAGAAAATGAAAACAAGAACTGGACAAATGGGATTATGTCAAACTAAAAGCACTCTGCATATCGAAGGAAACAATTAGCATAGTGAAGAGACAACCTATGGAACATGAAATATTTATAAAAAAATATACCTGATTATGGGTTAATATAAAACAATAAAGAACAAAAACAATTCAAGAGCAAAATAATAACTACTTAATCTAAAAATAGGCAGACATTTCTCAAAAGAAGATAAATAATTAATGGGTATATCAAAATAAATGTTCAACATCATTAATTATCAGGGAAATTTAAGTTAAAATCACAAAATGAGGTATCTCATAGCTATTAGAATGGTTATTATAGAAAAGATGAAAGGTAAGTACTGGCAAAGATGTGGACAAAAAGGAATCCTTGCACACTGTCAGAGGAAATGTATACAAGTACAGCCATTAAAGAAAACAGTATACAGGTTTCTCAGAATATTCAAAATAGAATTACCATATGATCTAGTAACCCCATGGGATGGATGGATGGATATATGTATATGTGTGTGTATATATATATATATATATATACACATATATATACACACATATATATATATACACACATATATATATATACACATACACACACACATACATATATGAATATATATATATACAAAAGGAAATAAAATTAGTATATTGAAGAGATATCTGTACTGCTTGTTCACTGCAGCTCTATTCACAACAGCCAAGTTATAGAACAACCTAAGTGCCCACAGCCTAAAGAATAGATAAAGAAAATACATATTAATATACAATAGAATACTATTCAACCTAAAAGACAAGGAAATGCTAACATTTGTGACAACATGGATAAGCCTGGTACACATTATATAAAACGAAGTAAGCCAAGAAAGACAAACACAGCATGATTTGACTTAAATCTGGAATCTAAAAAAGTTAAACTTATAGAAGTAAAAGTAGAATTGTGGTACCCAGGAATTGGAAGGAGTGGGAGTGGGTTAGGGAGGTTTGGGACAAAAAAGAATACAAAAAGAATACAAAATTTCAGTAAGACAGGAGGAGTAAGTTCAAGAGACCTATTGTGCAATGTGGTTAATATATTAACAATATATACTTGAAGATTGCTAAAAAAAACCAAAAAAACAGTGGATTTTAACTATTCTCACCACAAAAAAATGGTTAGTAGTAATATAAAGCATATTAGCCCTGATTTAATCATTCCACAAAATATACATATTAAATAATATTAAACATAATAAAACTATAATTTTCATTTGTCAATTTAAAAACTTAATTTTTTAAAAATGATAGACACCTTAAAGAAAGACTAAACAACAACAAAAATACATGTGGACAATGTCCTTACCTATTCTCATTTATCAGCACATAAGCAAATTTCATAAGTGAACAATATTGTATTTAATGAAAAACAAACAAGTCCATGCAGTTTTCATTAAGCATTTTATCACTAACTCAGATAAGAAATATAAATGTGGATACATGGTCTTAATTTAAGCAATAAGTCAAATAAGACTCTAAGTCACAAATTAACTGAATATTTTTCTAATTGCTTACCCACACTCAGAACCATTAAGATTTTAATGATAATTTGAGCTCAAAGATTTTCTGACAAAAATACTAAGAGCCCGGACTTCACCAATATACAGTTCAAAGTCATTGAAAATATCTCTGAAATGTCAACATTGGAGAACTAATAAAATTCAGGTCATAAAAACTCTGTCCTAATAGCTTCAAAAAGATATACATATGATAAATGGTGGTAAATTCAAACAAGGGAATGTAACTCAGGAGTAAAAAAGAATGAAGTACTATTACATGCAACGATATGGGTAAATATGAAAAAAGGCTGAGTGAAAGAAACTTTATAAAATCTGGACAGGCACAGTGGCACACACCTGCCTGGGAGGCAGAGGCAGAAGAATCACAAGTTCAAGGCTAGCCTTGGCAATTTAACTTAGCAAGAGTCTGTCTCAAAATTAAAAAAAAAAAAAATTAAAATTAAAAAGGCTGGCAACGTAGTTCAGTGGTAGGGCACACTGGGTTTAATCACTAGTACCATGAAAAAAAGGAAAAAAAAAAAGCTATATCCTGTATGATTCCATTTATATGAGATTCTAAGACAGGAAACACTGATCAATAAAAACAAACCAATAAATAAATGGAATCATAACAAGAGTTCCCTCTGAGGGTAGAGATGGAGAATAATTAGAAAGGGATATGAGAGAATTTTCCAGCATGCCAGAAATGTTTTGCATCTTAAAGGAGTTGGGTTTACAAAGATGTATGCATGTAGTTTCAATCTATATAAGATTTGTACAAAACTGCACATAAATTTTACCTTAAAAATGAATATTTAGGGGGCTTGGGTTATGGCTCAGCAGTAGTGCTTGCTTAGCATGTGTGAGGCCCTGGGTTTGATCCTCAGCACCATATAAAATTGAATAAAATAAAGGTCTTAAAAAATGAATATTAAGAAAATTTTTGAAAACCAGACAAATATATCATGCTGAAGCACTTAGAGTGAAATATACAAATACTTGCAATTTATTTTTAAATGACTAATAAACTAGATGGACAGATTTTAATAAAGCAAACACAGCAAAACATTAACAACTTAAGAATCTAGGAGGTGAGTATACCAGGATTCACCATTCAATTCTTTTAGCTTTTCTGTATGTCTGAAAATTTTCATAATAAAAAGGACAATAATCAAAATTGTTCTCTTTAATATTACTGATTTTCTTTTTATATGTTAACATTTAAATTTGATGTCAACTATGACTATCTTTTAGCAAGCAAGAATTAAAAGATGACATAATTTGAAAAATTTTAAAAGACATACCCGAATTTCTTGAAGATTGTGAAAATTATTTCCAACTCTGACTGAGATTTTGCTTGGAGTGTAGCTTTCATCAGATTTGTAGTCTGCATATATACATAATGTCTTCACTGTTGTTTTTCTTCTAAGAGCAATAAAGTAAAAATAACATGCATTTTATCACGTAGAAAGATTATTTCCAAAGCATCTTCTCTTCTGATGTTAAAAGAATCATAGTTTGGTAAAATGAGTATATGAATCAATAACTTCCATTTCTTTTAATTTTGAAGATAGTGAAAATGAAGAAAGTGTAAAAACATAGGTATAGATATAACACTTTACTTACATAGACATCTCTTATATAGACCATGGTCAAGAAAGTCAACATAGCAGAAACAGACGAAATCAGGTCTCTTAGTGAGCAAACAAACATTAAGGATTTCCATCCTCTTCATTTATATGTTCAATAAGGTAAGTGTTCTAAACAAGCTTAGTTTTCTTTATTAGTTAATTACTTAATTTCCTACATTAATTCTTGAAAGTAACAAACTAAGTGACAAGCCGAGTCCAGCAAAGAGAAAAACATTTTTTTAAAAAGACAGAAGGCTAATTTATTATTTAATACAAGAATTAAAATTCTACTCATTTTTAAAATATACATCTTCTAGGGAATAAAATTTAAAAATTTTTTTAAATACACAATAAAAAATTAACCTTGGAAAAAAATGCACCAGGCCAAAATACATGAAAAGAGGTTCAATTTCTAAAAGTCAAAGAAAGATAAAACACACAGATATTAGTTTTATTATCATATTGAATGTCTAATAAAAACCAAATTAGATTAGAATAAGGTGGTTTCATAACCAGTCAGTAGGTACATAAAGTTTGACCCACTAACTTAATGAACCTCAAAGAATGCATTAAAAACAATAACATGATTATTTACAAAAAGAAAAATATTGGCATGTGATTAAATTATTACAAAATTGTAAACATAAATATCCATTGTACTAGGGAATTGATTAAATTAAGATATATCCATTCAAGGATATACTATACAATTATAGATGGTACCTGCTTATAAAAGTTCCACCTGTGATTTTTTTTTTTTTTAACAATGGTTGTGAAAGCAATAAACACTGTATAGAAACTGCACTTCAAGCTGTGAATTTGGATCTCACCCCCAATCAGCAATATGTAGTATGGTGCTTTCTTCCAATGCTTGGCAGTCAGCCCAAGAACATCAGGGAAAACAGTTGTACTCTATGCTATACTATGTTGCTAATAAGCTATTAAATGCATTTTCAACTTAATATTTTCAACTTGCTATGGGCTTATTGGGACATAATTCCACAGTAAGTCAGGGAGCATCTGTATCTAAAATAAGCATGCAGACATATAGTTACAAGCCAGGGTAGGGGGATCAGATTATAAAACAGGAAATACAGAAGGACTGCATTTTGGAGGAAAAAAAAAATTAAAACACATAAATATATTTTTTATATGTAGAAAGAAGTCAAGATGGAAGTACACAAAAATAGTAAAAGTGGCTACCTTCATAAAGTATGGAAAAAACTATGAGACCTTTATTTTCTTCATCACGATTTTTATATTTTTTGGATAATTTTTCAGAATGGGCATGTGTCATTTGACCATGAGGGGAAAAGAAATTAGATAATTATAAAAAATGACCCCAAAACCCATTAAGAATGTCTTCTGAAATGTGCTTTAAAAGTTAAGTTCTAGTAAAACTGGTACTAATTTAATAACAATAAGATCCTCGAACAGAAATAGTCTGTCAAAAATCAGCCTGTAAAGACAGCAGAGGATCTGCAGCTCTTCTTAGGGGGACCAAATTTATGTAGCCTAACCTATTCATCAGAAAGGAATGGGAAAGTTAATGATTTTTCCTCAGTTCAAGATGTAAAACACTAAATACCCTGGAACTGCTGACAGGACAAATCCATTACTAAGTTCTCAAAAGAGGCCAGAGGCATCAAACTGACATTTTTCTCTTTTTGTTGGGCCAGCAAAGAGACAAAAGAGGAAGCAAAGGAATAAGGGGAAATTTTGAAGGTCATAATAAAGACCTTCTTCATGAGCCATAAGCAGGAAGTAAAAGGTCTTTTCTACCATAAAAAGAGCAAAGAACACAAGGATGCACTGACCTGAGCAACAAAAAACAAAAGCAGAATTAAAGGATCAGACTTTTTGCTCAGAATAATTTTATTTCTAAATTATAAAATTCAGGATAAGTTAGTAACTGAAACCTACAAGATAATTGGAAAGAAATTAGAAAGGCAAAGAGTAGTAACATTAATGATAATCAAAACAACAGCAATGAATAGCAAATGAACACATGTCTGGCCCAGAAGTAATGCTTCAAATATACAGGAACTATTATTATCTCTTTCTTTCTGATTTTAAAATGTAACATTGAGTTTAATACCAGCCTTAAAGAAAGCAAGCTAATAGACAAGCAGAGTCAGAACTCAAGGGTATGCTGGTTTGCCTCACAGGTTCTCAGCCACTCCTACTGCCTTTAAGCAGGAGTACCTATTGGCTTATTCAACAGCCATTGATACCAGTTTACAGAGACATGTAGGTATCTGAAGTTGTTTAAATTTTACCCAAATCAGGGCTTTTGCTGCTAAGGTTCTTGGATCCCCAGAAATCATATGTATAATTGTTGCTACATACAGTTTCATTAGATTTACAAAGGAAACTATGACCTTAAAAAAGTTGAAAATGCTTTACTCTAAAAGATATAGTAAAATCCTTTAAAACTATTTATCAATCTTATCTCTTGATGAATCAAAAACTATATTGTATAGAAAATCATGATGTTTCTCAAATAGCAAGGCAGGCCATATTACCAAAGCATTTTATATTAAACACAATTCCTATTAAAATCCCAATGACATTCTTCATAGAAACAGCAAAAGCAATCATGAAATTCATTTGGAAAAATAAGAGACCCAAAACAGTCAAAGCAATCCTTAGCAAGAAAAATGAAGCAGGGCCATCACAATACCAGACTTCAAATTATACTATAGAGCCATAGTAACAAAAACAGCATGGTATTGGTATCAAAACAGATACACAGATCAATGGTAAGAATAGAAGACACAGTGACAAACCCATATAAATACAGTTATCTCATACTAGACAAGGTGCAAAAAAACATACATTGGAGAAAAGATAGCCACTTCAACAAAATGGTGCTGGGAAAATTGGAAATCCACATGTAGGAAAATGAAATTAAACCCCTATCTCTCAACCTGCACAAAAATCAACTCAAATGGATCAAAGACTTAGGCACTAGAACAGAGACCCTATGCCTAATAGAAGAAAAAGTAGGCCCCAATCTCCACCATGTTCACTTGGGAACTGACTTCTTTAACAAGACTCCTGGGCTGGGGTTGTGGCTCAGTGGTCGAGCGCTTGCCTAGCATGCATGAGGCACTGGGTTCGATCCTCAGCACCACATAAATGTAAAATAAAGATATTGTGTCCACCTAAAACTAAAAAATAAATATTAAAAAAAAAGAAATTACACACACACACACACAAAAGACTCCTAAAGGGCACAAAGTGAAATTGAGGATCAACAAATGGGATGAAATAAAACTAAAAAGCTTCTTCACAGCAAAGGAAACAATCAAGAACACCAAGAGCCTTTAGAATGGGAAAAAATCTTTACCACACGCACCTCAGAGCATTAATCTTCAGGATATATAAAGAACTCAAAATAACACCAAAAAAAGCTGCCAAATAACCTAATCCATAATTGGGCAAAGGAAATGAAACAAATACTTTACAGAAGAAATACAATTAGTCAACATATGAAAAAAATGTTCAACATCTCTAGCAATTAGAGAAATGCAAATCAAAACTACAGTGAGTAGTGTATCCAGTCAGGAGGGCAATTATCAAAAATACAAGCAACAACAAATGTTGGCGAGGATGTGGAGAAAAAGGTACACTCATACATGGCTGGTGGGACTGCAAGTTGGTGCAACTACTGTGGAAAGCAGTATGGAAATTCCTCAGAAACCCTGGAATGGAACCACTATTTGACCCAGTCATCCCACTCCTAGGTTTATACCCAAAGGACTTAAAATCAGAATATTATAGTAACACAGCCACATCAATGTTTATAGCAGCTCAGTTCACAATAGCTAAACTATGGAATCAGCCTAGGTGCCTTCAACAGATGAATGCATAATGAAACTGTGGTATATACACAAAATGGAACATTACTCAGCCTTAAAGAAGAATGAAATTATGGCATTTGCTGATAAATGGATATAAATGGAGACTATCATGCTAAGTGAAACAAGCCAATCCCAAAGAACCACAGGCCGAATGTTCTCTATGATATGTGGATGATAATTCACAATAAGGGGTCAGGGGAAGAACAGAGGTATTTGGGACTATGCAGAGGTGAGTGAAGGGAGGGAAGGGAGTACGGAGGTAAGAATGATAGTAGAATGAATCAGACATTATTACCCTTATGTGCATATATGATTACATGACCTATGTAACTCTATATCATGTACAACCAGATGAATAAGAAGTTGTACTCCATTATGTATGATTTGTCAGAATGCATTCTACTGTCTTGTATAACTAATTAGAAAAAATTTAAAAAACAGCAATGCATTTGAGAAGATTGCACACATGAGAAAGTGGCAGCTACTCAAATTGCTCAAATCACTTTTGTAATAATAATCATCATAATAAACTAAATGCCTACCATATGCCAGACATCTTGCTAAACAACTAGGATGTTGTGTAAGAGGAGAAGGGAGAGGTAATACTTTCCCATTTCTGATGCCATAAGAACACTCCTGGCCTCCTCTATGCCCTCACCCACTACACCCCTTTCTCCTGAGAAAGAGCTACTGGCAGCAAGCAAACATCTGCCTTGTTCCTCAGGCCAGCTATTTAATAAGAGCAGGCACTACCTGGTCTCTCAGTTTTATAACTAGATGGGTAAGTTCTGGGGTTTTTTTTAATACTAGGGTTCAGTATTAGGATACTGCAGATACAATGCGATTATGACATTTCTTGGCATCAACATTGGCAGTTTTATAAAGGTATTATTTTGGCTTCCACCTGCTGACTCTTGAATAATTTCTC